GGGGGTCGTTGCCAACCCTCCTGAGCCAGTCCGAAGGCCTCACCGAGCCATTCAATCGGTAGTAGCGACGGGCGGTGTGTACAAAGGGCAGGGACGTAATCGGCACGAGCTGATGACTCGTGCCTACTAGGCATTCCTCGTTGAAGAGCAATAATTGCAATGCTCTATCCCCAGCACGACAGGGTTTAACAAGATTACCCAGACCTCTCGGCCAAGGTGATGTACTCGCTGGCCCTGTCAGTGTAGCGCGCGTGCGGCCCAGAACATCTAAGGGCATCACAGACCTGTTATTGCCGCGCACTTCCATCGGCTTGAGCCGATAGTCCCCCTAAGAAGCCAGCGGCCCGCAAATGCGGACCGGGCTATTTAAGGGCCGAGGTCTCGTTCGTTATCGCAATTAAGCAGACAAATCACTCCACCAACTAAGAACGGCCATGCACCACCATCCAAAAGATCAAGAAAGAGCTCTCAATCTGTCAATCCTTATTTTGTCTGGACCTGGTGAGTTTCCCCGTGTTGAGTCAAATTAAGCCGCAGGCTCCACGCCTGGTGGTGCCCTTCCGTCAATTTCTTTAAGTTTCAGCCTTGCGACCATACTCCCCCCAGAACCCAAAAACTTTGATTTCTCGTAAGGTGCCGAACGGGTCATAATAGAAACACCGTCCGATCCCTAGTCGGCATAGTTTATGGTTAAGACTACGACGGTATCTGATCGTCTTCGATCCCCTAACTTTCGTTCCCTGATTAATGAAAACATCCTTGGCGAATGCTTTCGCAGTAGTTAGTCTTCAGCAAATCCAAGAATTTCACCTCTGACAGCTGAATACTGACGCCCCCGACTATCCCTATTAATCATTACGGCGGTCCTAGAAACCAACAAAATAGAACCACACGTCCTATTCTATTATTCCATGCTAATGTATTCGAGCAAAGGCCTGCTTTGAACACTCTAATTTTTTCACAGTAAAAGTCCTGGTTCCCCCCACAGCCAGTGAAGGCCATGGGATTCCCCAGAAGGAAAGGTCCAGCCGGACCAGTACTCGCGGTGAGGCGGACCGGCCAGCCAGACCCAAGGTTCAACTACGAGCTTTTTAACTGCAACAACTTTAATATACGCTATTGGAGCTGGAATTACCGCGGCTGCTGGCACCAGACTTGCCCTCCAATTGTTCCTCGTTAAGGGATTTAAATTGTACTCATTCCAATTACGAGACCCAAAAGAGCCCCGTATCAGTATTTATTGTCACTACCTCCCCGTGTCGGGATTGGGTAATTTGCGCGCCTGCTGCCTTCCTTGGATGTGGTAGCCGTTTCTCAGGCTCCCTCTCCGGAATCGAACCCTAATTCCCCGTTACCCGTTGCCACCATGGTAGGCCACTATCCTACCATCGAAAGTTGATAGGGCAGAAATTTGAATGAACCATCGCCGGCGCAAGGCCATGCGATTCGTTAAGTTATTATGATTCACCAAGGAGCCCCGAAGGGCATTGGTTTTTTATCTAATAAATACACCCCTTCCGAAGTCGAGGTTTTCAGCATGTATTAGCTCTAGAATTACCACAGGTATCCATGTAGTAAGGTACTATCAAATAAACGATAACTGATTTAATGAGCCATTCGCAGTTTCACGGTATAAAGTGCTTATACTTAGACATGCATGGCTTAATCTTTGAGACAAGCATATGACTACTGGCAGAATCAACCAGATACCTAGTTCCTGCTGGGGATGCCCGGGCGGAGCCCGGAACACCCCCAAAGCCCCCGGAGGGGCAGCGTTGTACGTAGGCTTCACTCTGGAAGGAGCGCACGAGGCGCCCGGCCACAGCGACACCCCCGGCGTACCGGGAGCACACATGTGACCATCCGATTGCCCCCACTGTAGCTCCCCAGGAACCGGTCCGCACGCAGGGATCCCGCCAGTGCCCTCACGGGCGCTGACGGGCTGCGGCATACGGCCCTCGGGTGGGGGGTCCAGACCCCGCGGACACGCCGACGAACGGCGGCTCCCGCGGAGCGGCTCCCCCCAGGAATCTGCGTAGGAAGGCTGGCCAGCGGCCAACGATCCACAGACCCCATCGGTGCCGGCGACCGCGAACGGCCCCCGGGCTTCGGACATCCCAGCAGCAACGGGCACCCCCGGGCGTGTTTAAGCCGGTGCACCCCTGGACTCAGGAGAAACACCGGCGGCGCAGAGGAAGACCACGGGCTGGGATGGGCGGGCGCCCCCGTTCCTGAAGCGAGGCCCTACTGAAAGGGCCTAGGCGCTACCAGTCACAGAAAGACAGCCTACCTGACATGGAAGAAATGCGATCAGGCTTCTGCCAGCTGTGAGCTGACTTCTGCCTTCCACATAGTACCACCGGCTACCTTTGGCCCATTGACACGCGTGCAAACGTTCCGTGGGCAGAAAGTGAATCTGGGGGGGTGGTTTACTATGGGGTGGTCCGTGCGTCATGCCGTTTTCCCATACAAAGTGGGCCACCCAGGTTCGCCCCTACCC